GAATAAATTCTTTACACACAAATGTGACAACACTTTTAGACGTTTTTTTTATGACATCTGTTTTTGTGATCTATTTAACCATGAAACAGATTCTAGTTTATTTCAAAAACTGCATTGGTTTATAACTTCTCTTTAAATTTTCAGCATTTGCTGGAAAAAAAAAAGATGTGAAACTACTCTCTTATCTTTCATCTCCTGTAAGTTATTGTGATCAGTAAAAGTTAGCCGCTCTGAGCCCGGCTGTAGTGACCATCACACTCAGCTTCAGCGTGAGAAACTAACTCCAGTGTGCAGGCACACATGCAGTGTTAAAAAGGAAACTACAGTCCGACACATGTAACCTTACTGCTGCTTGTTCTACACTTGGCTGGAACAATTTACAGTTGGCTGCACTCCAGCAGAAAAACAAACGTACTCAAAGCGCTGCCTCGTCTTCCTCATTCGTGTGGAACAACAACTCACTTTCGTTTGAAGACAAAAAGATTGTGGCAGCGCTTCCTGTGCTCAGTGTTGGTTTAACTCAGGTCAGGAGAGAGAGAGCTGGAGTATTTTCCACTTTCAGCTAGGGTGGAATGTGGATCAGTAGCTTTAGATTTTAAACAATTAAACTTATATTTATTAGTTACATGAGACTGTAATATTTTAATTTAGCTTAAACACTTATCGAGCTACAGTCAGCTAATAAAAACAAGCTGCAAACTCCTGTTTTAGAACTGTAGCCATCTGTGGGAACATTCAGTAAAAACAACTGGCAGTCACTTGCAAGTGGAAAAAAAACCACTCGACACAACAACCAAAGGTTTTTCTCGCTGAAGCCTCTTGGCTCCACATGCTGGACTTCATCGGTTATTGTCGTGTCATGAGCCATCGTCTGAAAAAAACATTTGGTGGTGTGCTGGTTCCATTTCGTCTTTCCAAAGTAGTTTTTATGAGCCATGAAATCACCTGGTGCTGAGCCAATGAGGCGGCCGGATAAATCGGTCCCCGGCAGCTTCTTCTTCAGAATGGGGACAATCTTTTCGTCAAAGTACTCCATGGCCATGGAGGAGATGTCCCTCAGCTCCTGGAGAACCTCGTGAGCTCGCTGGGGAGCTCTGGTGGAGTTCACGTAGCGCAGCACACGGTAAATCTCATCTATCACCTGGTAAGACACGAAAGCTTTAAATAAAAACAACAACAATGAAAGCASCATTCATGTTCTTAGTCTCCTTTAGGCCTTTGAAGACCTGGCATCAAACGCAAAAGTATATTTTGTGCTATCCCCACCCCCAAAAAARGAAACTGGCTGTAAAAGTGAGTTCTTTAGAGGAGGGGGTCTCAAACGTTTTGGGTCTGGGGACCCCTTAGAAGGGTGAAAAAATTCCCAGGGACCTCCTCATAAACTCCATGCTGTTTTAAAAGTTATTTACCATCAAAAATAATATTCCCATGATTTGTAAGGGTTACTAAATGCCATGGGAATATTATTTTTTTGTTTGGTTTAGTATGTTTGTTTTAGTGCATTGTTCCCCATATACATTTTTAAAAATAAAAACACATTAACAATTCATCGMAATTTTATAGGACCCCCAAGATACAGCTTGCAAACCCCAGTTTGAGAACCTCTGCTTTAGAGGTCATTTTGTGAATTTAGATCGTCTGGAGCCTAAAATAGAACTAAGGCTCTTCAGCTGTGCAAACAGTTGGATGTTTTATGGTTTAGAAGCGGTCGAGCGAACCTTTCCAGGAATAAAGCAGCAGAGGTTTGAGTCGACGTATTTCATGAAGGTCATGTTGAGCAGAGAGAGCCGCGTCTCGACAGCAGCCAGGATGTCGGCGTGACGAGCCAGAGAATGGTTTCTCCTCTCCGACTCCCGCCTAGACACGAGAACGAAAATGTAAAAAAATAAATGAATAAAAAATCAGAAATACAAAACAAATCTCATACTTTATAATTTAAGTCTATGTAAAACACTTCAGGTAAAGTTAAATTAGWGAGGACAACTTGTTTTAAACAACTAAGCATAGCTGAAAGTGGTGAGTGCACCAAAGCCCCAGCCCTCGCCTTCAGAAGCCACATAATTAGTTAAACAAGATCCACCTGGAGGATCTTATTTATAACGTCCATCAGAAAAATCTGTTTCCATTTGTATGTAAACAAGGTTTAAAATCAGACTTTTCTCTGGGTTATCATGTCTGATACAAACCTAACACCCTCCCACAGTAAAGCATAGTAGCAGAGTTTATTTCTTGATGGCTTCCCAATAAAATATACTTTGCATTAGTGCTGGGCGGTATACCGGTTCGTACCGAACACAATTTTTAATTTTTGTTATGATATGAATTTTCTGCATACCGACATACCGGTTTAAATAGCCTGAACACGTGCGGAATGTTTCGTCGYGGCCGCTAGTGAACTKTTTCCAGAGGGACACTTTTCTTCGCAGCACCGCTATGTGCATTAGCATGCTAATGTTGTTGCAGCGGCGGGTGGCAATTCCGCTACTTATATTGGCTTACGTTTAAAAAAAAAAAAAATCCAGTTTTTGCCATCGCTTAATGTAGTAAACACTTCTTCAGTGACATGCACGGTTAGATTAAACACGCAACATTAATATGGAGATGTGGAGACGCATGGAGACTTTAACGTGCTTCTATTGTGAAAAGCCCGGGGTAAGAAGTTTAGTGGAATTAAGTTGATTGGTGTGCAAGGTGAGTCATCCTGATAAGTTTTATTAAATAACATAAAACAATAGACCCAATAATAATAATCTTTTCTTAACCATCCTCTTTCACAACGGGACCAAAATGTGTGACTACTGTCTACAACCACCAGTCAGAGAAAAGACACAAGGAGGAGGGTAACAACAACACAGACAGAGGTAYGGTAAAAGAAAAAAGTTAAAAAGCTGTTTTTGTACATTTTATTATCAGCTGGCCAGTGGTGAAAAGAAAAATACTGTGATATATCGTGAAACCAGTGTAAATGTTGAAAATACYGTGATATAACATTTTGGTCATACCGCCCAGCYCTACTTCGCATCATCAAACCTGTGCAAAATAAAAGTATACAAAGCAACGCAGCTTTCAACACAGGCAGGGTAACGCCTTTAGATAAAAGTCACAGTTTCTTGTGCAGTGTTTGTGTAAGTGTGTCACTAACCTGGGCAGCTGGGCTTTGACTTGCCTTTGGCAAAGRCTGTGGTACCGCTCCACCTTCAGGAAGCCCTGATTCAGGACGCGCTGGCAGATTATGTCCATGCGCTTACACACCTGCAGAGGACCGAGCAGAGATGAGACGCGAACAGGTCAAAACACATGGAACCAGGAGTTTATTTTTAGTTTAGTTTAGTTTATCTGCACAGTAAAAAAAACAACAAAACAAATCAGTTGAAAGAAGAAGAAAAAAAATGACAGTGCAGGGAGTGGCAAAAAGCCCAATAGGCTTATATGAAGCCTCCACCGGAAAAATAAAAATACATTGAACCGTATCGTCTGACTGTTCTCTGATTTATGTTATGTAGGTATGAATATGTGTGGTGGGCAGTGTGTGTGTGTGTGTGTGTGTGTGTGTGTGTGTGTGTG